CTTAAATTTAATGTTGCCAAGGTTTGTTATTTTTACCTGAATAAATAAATTTCCTTGAGGTAGGAAATTATGGTTTTCCAGCGCAACGCATTATGGAGGTTTCCTGTTACCCTCGGATGAGTTTCATAAGTCAAAACAATTTCTTTTCAGGCATTTGCGAGTCAATTACCGCAAAATTTCTTATTACACGGCTTGTATAAAAGGGTAACATTGTGCGAGCTCGGGCGCTTACGCCGTGGCCAGATAAACCCGGTAGCGATGCCCTTTATTATTCACGTTTACAGCGTGCAATTTCAGCAACATTAGACTTTCATATGCTCAATTGTGTGTGACGCGAATTCTCTTTTAAATTACTGTCATTTACCAACGCGTCATCCCCGTTGCTTTTGATAACGCATGCGAAGAATGCAATTGACATGCTCATTATTGAGGAGGCGTATCGATTTCTCTTTTACAAACGGAAGTATAATAAACTCGCAATTCATTCGCTGCTGGTATCGCTCCTCGCATACATGAATAGGAAAATATTCCCTGTTAAAGCTCAAATTTGTTATATCATTAAAGATAAAATCGATAGTAATTGTAATTTTAATTGTCAATAAATAATGAGCAACAAATTTTATTTACTCCAAATAAAAAGTTCANTTCTGAATGAAATCAAGACTAGAGCACACCAAATTTAATTTTTATCCTTTCAAAGAGATTAAAAAATCTTCTCATATAAGGACGAATATTTTGCACTAATTTCGCCTGGTTATCGATAAAAGAGAATAAGAAATGTTAAAAATTTATTGTAAAATAAATATTTACAAAAAATGTAACATTATTTTAATATTATCGACATTTTTATTCCTAAAATAACATTGGAAATGTTCATTTCTATTTCACTGACGTATTGACAATGAATATAGTTCATATTCTCCTATTAATTTTGATACTTCGCGTTTTGAATATGCAAATTTCGGTTTAGATACATTTTTATGTAGGTATCCCTCCCTGGAGGGTCACTGCCTTAGTCTAGGAAAATAACACAATTGGATTCGGTTACTATTGATGTATTTCAGTATAAAAGGTTGCTACTGGCCAGACTACATCCAAACATTTATTCTATTAAGGGAGATTTAATTTGTTAATTATCAACAAATGTAATAGCCATGTTCAATTACTTAATCGTCAGACGAGTAAATATGAATCTGGTATCGATAACAAATTATATTAACATAAATCACAATCACCATCGATTACTTTTCGTTTCTTCCTTTACGCCCGGACATTAAATCACAGCCTCCCAGGCAATTAGCCGAAATACAATGGCCGAACAATTACTTAAACACAAAGTACAACAGCGTCGTAAATACACATCTATAACGACGCAACCCCCACGGAATCGCATATATGTACCATGGCATGTGATATATCGTCCCGTACGGCCTAGTCGATTGCGTGGCGTATTCAATTTACGAAGCCTAATTTGACCAAGTTGCAGATGCAGGATTGGCCACCGTCGAGAGAGGGGAAAACCGCACGTGTCGTTCGCGTTCAATAGAATTCGAACGTCGCTGTAAAATCCCCTAACCGCAGCTTTGCCGGTAGTCGACTGAATATTGCTAAGACCAAAAGATTAGCCTACGTCATGAAAGATTAGACCGCGTTTTCCAGCGCGTAAATTAAGGGGCTATTCCACAGTTACTGAGAAATCATTTATAGTTGAGAATTTTTCGAAACAGAAAATCTCTATTTATATATAACATTATGTACTATATAACTATTGTACTTTTATTTATGTGTATTTTGCGAGTATAAAAGAATTTTGATAAGAGCTTTTGTAAAGCTCCTACTGTCCAGTGGAAAGCCAACGCGCATCTAAATCCACTGTGGAATTGGTATACGAAAAATTACTTTGTCAATCGCTCTATTCAGGACGTTAGTAGCTATCGCAGGAGCTAAAGCGATTCAATTCGGAAAAGAGTTGACAAATGGCAGACATTAAAAGCTCATTTCCATTTTTTTCCCACCGTTCTTCGACGTAAAAGTAACGGGAAAAGAATCGGAACTTGGTTTTTCACATTAGGAAAAAATTTCAAATATAGGTCACTCCTTAAGCTTCACAGTGTAATCATAAAAAATCGGAGATGTAGGCCCTAGGCTGTCAGAGAAAGAAAAACGATGAAATGAATTGAATTTTTGGAGAAGTGAAGCTTTACTGAATATAAATATATACAACTAAAATATATTTTTTTATATAGTTAAATAAAATGATCTCTGTTCTGTACTTATTTAAGTTTAGCTCAGTTGTTCTTCATTTTTGTCAGGGTGAGTCTTCAAACTGTATCTACATCACCACAAGACCATACACTGTTACAGTAATCACAGTTTTACAGACTTCACTTTTACAGTTTTTGTATTATTCATAGGAACTTACACTTATATGTATTTTTTTAATTGACTCGTTTTATTTCTACTTTTACTTACTTCGCTCATCCTGTACTTATTTAAGATTGTTGGCAGGATAGTGTCGCCGCCGTGCGACGATCAAAGAGACTTCGTTGTTTCGTTACACTCAACAGATCAATATGAGCTCGTATGCAGATTTCTTTACTGAGTTATAAATCCTTTTAATCAATTATATACATAGTAGATGTCCCAATTTCTGTTTAAATCACAATTTCTACTCACTGCCCTCTTTTCTATGATTTCATTTGCAATCTTAAGTCAGTGAGTAGAAATTATAACATGAACAGAAATTATATTCTGAAATGGGTTTCACTCTCAAATACAGAATGGAATTAAAAAAAAGCTGCAGATCCATTAACAGATATTTAGAAATTTGAATACATCGATCAATTCCCAGTTCGAGATTCGCTCCATTTTTAACTGGAGGGCCTGAGTGGAAATTCGTGTCTCGATAATTATTTTCGTAAATTCAAAGATAAATGCTCGCTGCAATAGCGTAACGTAGTGGAGAAAGTGCGCAGGTAGGGGCCAGATCGGTGGGTTAAACGCTCCTAATGATGTCTCGTAATTGCATCGAAAGTTCGCGGGGAAACCGTAATTATCGCCCGGCCACGCTTTCAACGATACCGTCGGCCGCGTCGCCGCTACAATCGTCGCAAATTGAAAAATATTTTCACGCACCCCCTCTTTTTCTCTCTCTCCGTTCCTGTCTCCTCTCAATTTTTCCTTTCGCGTCGGATACGTTTTAGCAAAATCGTATTCGAATCGTGGAAATGGCTGGAGTATAGCGCAATTATTTAGCTAGCACTTTCGACCCGCACAGGATGAGGGATTAATCGCGCCTTCAAATGGAATAATTGGCCGAATCGAATTATCGGAACGATTTGATGGTTTAACGAGATGTTCGATACTCCACTACGAAATTCGTTACAGAAATTTAACAAAAGTACTGTACATTTTTATAAATCCATACAGATTTTTTTAAAACGAGAAGTTCGACTATATTCCATAGGATTACGTATGTGATAATTCTTTCTATTATTCAGTGAACATGTAATATTCTAGTTTGCAACAAAAGTTTTATCATACAGAAATTGTTTCACTTACCCCGCTGAAGGTTTTCACGTTATGTAGGGCATTTTGAGCGTCAAGAGCAGCTTTTCTTGTATAGAACGTCACGAAGCAACATCCTGTAACAAAAATTAGAGCGAATCCTATATAAATATATACAACTAAAATATATTTTTTTATATAGTTAAATAAAATGATCTCTGTTCTGTACTTATTTAAGTTTAGCTCAGTTGTTCTTCATTTTTGTCAGGGTGAGTCTTCAAACTGTATCTACATCACCACAAGACCATACACTGTTACAGTAATCACAGTTTTACAGACTTCACTTTTACAGTTTTTGTATTATTCATAGGAACTTACACTTATATGTATCTTTTTAATTGACTCGTTTTATTTCTACTTTTACTTACTTCGCTCATCCTGTACTTATTTAAGATTGTTGGCAGGATAGTGTCGCCGCCGTGCGACGATCAAAGAGACTTCGTTGTTTCGTTACACTCAACAGATCAATATGAGCTCGTATGCAGATTTCTTTACTGAGTTATAAATCCTTTTAATCAATTATATACATAGTAGATGTCCCAATTTCTGTTTAAATCACAATTTCTACTCACTGCCCTCTTTTCTATGATTTCATTTGCAATCTTAAGTCAGTGAGTAGAAATTATAACATGAACAGAAATTATATTCTGAAATGGGTTTCACTCTCAAATACAGAATGGAATTAAAAAAAAGCTGCAGATCCATTAACAGATATTTAGAAATTTGAATACATCGATCAATTCCCAGTTCGAGATTCGCTCCATTTTTAACTGGAGGGCCTGAGTGGAAATTCGTGTCTCGATAATTATTTTCGTAAATTCAAAGATAAATGCTCGCTGCAATAGCGTAACGTAGTGGAGAAAGTGCGCAGGTAGGGGCCAGATCGGTGGGTTAAACGCTCCTAATGATGTCTCGTAATTGCATCGAAAGTTCGCGGGGAAACCGTAATTATCGCCCGGCCACGCTTTCAACGATACCGTCGGCCGCGTCGCCGCTACAATCGTCGCAAATTGAAAAATATTTTCACGCACCCCCTCTTTTTCTCTCTCTCCGTTCCTGTCTCCTCTCAATTTTTCCTTTCGCGTCGGATACGTTTTAGCAAAATCGTATTCGAATCGTGGAAATGGCTGGAGTATAGCGCAATTATTTAGCTAGCACTTTCGACCCGCACAGGATGAGGGATTAATCGCGCCTTCAAATGGAATAATTGGCCGAATCGAATTATCGGAACGATTTGATGGTTTAACGAGATGTTCGATACTCCACTACGAAATTCGTTACAGAAATTTAACAAAAGTACTGTACATTTTTATAAATCCATACAGATTTTTTTAAAACGAGAAGTTCGACTATATTCCATAGGATTACGTATGTGATAATTCTTTCTATTATTCAGTGAACATGTAATATTCTAGTTTGCAACAAAAGTTTTATCATACAGAAATTGTTTCACTTACCCCGCTGAAGGTTTTCACGTTATGTAGGGCATTTTGAGCGTCAAGAGCAGCTTTTCTTGTATAGAACGTCACGAAGCAACATCCTGTAACAAAAATTAGAGCGAATCCAGTTAGACAACCATTCTTAAAAAAGATAACATAGAGAAAAGATTGATCTGTAACAATGACAATTAAATAGATAAAATTCTATCATAAAACGGTAATTATTATAAAAAATAAAATATTGTACACATTTAAAAAAAAATGATTTCCATTTAAACGAGTTCATAATTTTCTCAATTTTTATCCAGAATATTTAGTAAGAGAACGTGTAATTCTTAGAAAGCTCATCGAGAGTTTTCCCCCGTTATATAGCTGGACATCGACCAACCCGAAAATGGATTGAACCGATCGATAGTTTCCAGTTAGCAAAAGTTCGATACGCGCCGTTGTATTACTACCGATTTCCCGGCCCTGTCACCGTTACCACCATCTTGGCGTTTCGCCCCCCTCAACGTCGACCAAAGGACCCGTATTCCCTCGAAAGCTCGCACCCTTCCCCGTTTAGTTTACGAATAACGTGGAACGCATATACAGCACCGCCAGTAAGTTTGACTACACATACCACATTATAATAGCTTTCTTTCCTTACTGTAAGTACTTACATAAATGTTAGCGTATTAAACAGTAAAAACCGTTCTAAAAAGTTCCTGGTTTAAAAGCTCCTGGAGTTTCAGTATGCGTGACGTCGTTGGAAGAAATTAAAAATGAAAATAAAAATTGTATCATAAATGGCAGCACGCAATCAAGTCTTGAAACGTAATTAACCGGCAAGGATATGTATAATGAAAACCTGAAATGGTTAAATCTCGAAACAGTTTCGTTTCCATTCGTTATGCGGAATTTATTTAGCGAGTGATCGAAGATTGACGCAATCCTGTAACGATAATGCTCGTTACCAGGGTGTACCGGCTGTCTGAGTTTGTTCTGTCGGAACGAAATTGCAATTCATTCTGTATTTTATATTCAATCGACGAATTTACATTGTGAGGATTCATTGGGTGAGTGTAGTAGTTATTCCTGTAATTCGTATTTTGTCCAATTCAAAGGATATTCGGATTCATATAATATTGCATGTACAGCGACTCACACTGATATTCGGATACGTTTCAATACAATAACTTTTTCAGTATTTTACCGAATAATTTTATTTTCTGTGGGATGCTACAAGGCTTAGTTTACTATATAATATATAGAAATACATTTCTGTCCACCCATAATAAAAATACTTGCGATTTAATTGAAAGTTTGAACATAGCTTAAATCGTTGGAATTCAAGCGCGTATGTATAAGCGACGATAAAAATCGATTTTGCAATCTGAACGACTGCGCACGGTTTCCACGCGAAGTTCTTTCGAAAGAAACCTGAAATTCAGAAGCCTCCATAATAGAACGCCGTAAAAGAGAACGAATTCGTAATGAGGCATTCGATACTGTTTTCGAAGTTGACGGCGCGATATCGTGACAAGACTTTGTTGAAAAATATGTAACACGACGCTCGCCGAGAAACGGTCGAACGAGATGCGCGCGTCCAATTGACGTTTTCGTTCGTAATTTTCGTGCCTCCGTCGCAGCTTCGCGAAGTAGTTCGACACCGAGGCCGGAGAAAAGTAACAGAATTCCCGTGTAAGCAGGAAACTTGATATCAACGCGGCAGCGGCGGCGCGGTCTAATCATCGGCACACCAGACTCGAATTTCGCTTGGGAAGAGTACTTCGAAAACGCGACGCGATACTCTTTTCCTCCATTCCAGTTATTTTCCTCTCTAACATTAATTTAATACGAGAACAACTAACTAAAGCGATAATTATAACTCTTGTTTCAAGAAGAAACAAGCTACGTTGCCTTTCACCCAAGAAGTTCGAGTTTAATTAACTCTGACATCTAATACGAATTTAAAATTAATAATGGGAATGGGTTAACAAATGAAACTTCATTTATATAACTTTTACTATTCTTTTTCATTTCAACGACTTGGGAGGACGTCCGTACGCTAGGAAAAGCGCACTGCAAGTGAAGCAGAGCC